CCTTAGGGTCGTTAACCTGCAACAGGCAACCCATACGCAGACACACCCACGATCTAACACACTTCATGTCTTTTTCTCTGAACATCTTTGCAATCCTCTAACGGACCTGAGTGACCCGCTAACATGCCTTGCCAACCAAACAACCACCCTGGAGAAGCTGAAACCAGATTATTCCAGTTCTATAGCTGGTCACTGTAGGAGCAACCCCCCCCCCCCCCCCCCCCCCCCCCCACACACACACACACACACACACACACACACACACAAGCTGGATTTCAAAGTGTGGACTCAAATGCCTCAGGCAGGATGTGTCTCCTCAGTGTGGGCCTCTCCCTCATTGTCAGGTTGAGAACTGTGTTGGAAACCATGTTGCCTAAATAGAAACAGAAAGGAACAGACACAGCGACCAACAAAAAAAAGAATGATGGTCTAACATAACAGACAGAGAAACTAGATGTGCAGTAATCCAAGAAAAACAACACTAGCATTATTAAAAAAGCATACATTTTAAAATGTGAAGGAAGAAAACAATGAATAAGAAAATGTTATCATGGGATCCTGAGAAAGACAGAACTAGTAGAAGCAGCAGCATGAAGAGAAGCCAGTGAGGAAGAAGAGGATGAAAATGTCACACAAAAACCAGGTTGAACAAGTGAGTCTTCAGCTGCTTTTTAAAGGAGACCACTGAGTCCACTGATCTCAGGCTCAGGGGGAGAGAGCTCCAGAGTCTGGGGGCCACAGCAGCAGATGATCTGTCACCTTTGACCTTTAGCCTGGTGCTGCACAACCAGTAGGCTTTGATCACTGGACCTCAGGGACCTGCTGGGGGTGTAGGGACTAAAGATCACCAATGTAAGATGGTGCTTGTCCATGTAAGGCCCTATAGACCAGAACCAGGATCTTGAAATGAACCCTGAAGTTGACTGGCAGCCAGTGAAGCTGGAGGAGAAGCGGGGTGATGTGGGTGTGTTTGGAGGACTTGGTCAGAAGCCGAGCACAGGCGTTCTGAACCACCTGTAGACGGTTCAGGCAGGAAAATCCAGGATGAGAGCTGGGTCAAAGATCACACCAACTTTCCTGACAGAAGGTTTGGTGTGAGAAGCAAGCTGACCAAGAGAGTCTCTGACTTTGGGAACCAGCTTTTCTGGTGCACAGATGAGGATCTCAGTCTTATCTTCATTCAGCTGTAGAAAGTTCCCAGACATCCAGGTTTTGATAGAGTCTAAGCAGGTGTGTAACAGCTGCAGCTTAGACATCTCATGGGACTTGTGGAGTACCATTTATAAACGTCCTAAGGCTCCCTAATGCCGCCATGGGGTTGCAGTAAATTGACAGCATTGTTTTGTAAAAACAGCTTAGACATCTCATGGGCCTTAAAGGAGATGTACAGTTGGATGTCATCTGCATAAAGATGGTAGGATATTTCTTTAAAGAAGCTCAGGATGCGCTGAAGAGGAAGCAGATGGAGGAGGAAGAGCAGAGGCCCCAGCACAGAACCTTGTGTGACCCCATGGGTAAGGGAGGTGGTGGAGGACCTAAACTTGGAGACGGCCACAGAAAAGGAGCACTCAGAGAGATAAGAGGAGAACCACTCCAGAGCAGATCCTGATAGCCCTACCCAGTCTCTCAGCCTCTCCAGTAGCAGGTGATGGTCAACAGTGTCAAAGGCTGCAGTCAGGTCCAGCAGGACCAGAACAGAACATTGTGATTCAGAAGGTCATTAGAAACCCTAAGAAGAGATGTTTCAGTAGAATGAGCTCTATGGAAACCTGACTAGAAACTAATAGACGCAAAGGGAAGTCAGCAAGAAGATTTTGCCAACAATTAATAGCCAGACCACGGTTCTAGAGAAATCTTATTCTCACTTGGAGCCAAAACGATTTCCCCCTTTTGCATTGAGTTTTTACTAGGTTTCTAAAACATTGCTGGAGGTGATAGACTCAGATTCACTACTTGGCTTGGGTTCAGCTGCCAGTAGGGACAAAGTGCCATGGTGCATCTTGACCAATCATGGCCAATCGGAAGTAGACTGCAGATCTAAGTACGATTAATTTAGCAGTGAAATTTTGAAAAGGTGGCTAGTAATGGCGATAGAGCCAAAAACAGAAGCCATCTTTTAACCAGCCAGAAGTGGACAAACAACATGAAACTATTACAGAAAGACAATAATAGGCAGGAAAATATGCCAGCACCTCCGAGCCTTAGGTCGTTTTATAAGCGGTCAGACCATGGTGATAACGTGGCGCAACTGGGTCCTTTATACATAAGATTATGCAATGGCAGAAAAAAAGGGGGAATGGGGGCAGTCTCTGCACTGCCACAGACTTCCGTTTTATCTAGGAAATAACTTGCTTTTTATTGCGATTGAAGCCGTGATCATTAAGTTTTTTTTTAACAAGCAGCTCCTAAAGTCGTCTGTCCCCATCAGTCCCTGTGAGGTCTCTGGTGATCTGAGCTTCAGCTATAATGGAGAGAAGCCCCAGGAGTTCTTTATTGCTCCAGATTATCATCTCAGCTGGTTCTGTTTACAAAAGTGAAACTGAATGCCAGTGTTTCCGTTCATTTTCAATATAGTTGCTTGCGCATTCATAATACACACCATGGTGACAGTATTATGCTGATTTGCCTGCATGGTGTTGTCTTCTAAAAAGGGCTTAAAGAAACCTGAGTCTAGGGGAGTAGGTAATAACAGTAGGGCCATTGTTTGTGTAAACAGAGCTCTTTACATTATGTGATTTAGGGTTAAATTGATTAGATTGGATTGGATGTTAACAGCAAATCAACCATGTCAACAAGGGCTTGACATCAGAAAAACTATTGCAATTCACTAAATCAAACTGGAGCGGTCACTGGGGAACAAAGACTCAATAACATTCTGTAAAACGTACACATTTAGGTTTGGGGGGGGGGGGGGGGGGGGGGGGATCGATTTTAAGACTGTAAAACATCACAACTGTGATACAGCTGCATTAACAGAAAATAAAATTGGAGATCAAAATGCAGCCAGGAGGTTGAACCTGGATTAGGATGGATGTGCCCCGTAAGCTGGTTCCAGTACAAGTTTTAAATTTCTATCGATTCATGTTCCAAACATGCTGCTGAATGTTCAAGAATTACATTTTCTTATCTGCTTAGCAATGCAATTAGTTGTTTGCTGCTTAAAAAACACAACTGTGAACAGTAGGGCAGAAAGGACTTGTATCCCCAAATCCTGATTGCTAAGAAGTTGCTAACCCTAACCCTTCTCCACAGCCTTCATTAGTGTCTACAGGACTGATTCATCACTAAATGAAACAAATCAGCTGGGTTTGCGATCTAAAACATGCAGGAAACCTACTGGAAGCAGACGGTAGTGCAGAGTAGGGTGGGGCATCGTTTGATTTTGAACGATTCCGATTCAGATTCCAATTCCTCGTTTCGATTCCGGTTCCTATCGATTCCCGATTCCGATTCTTACAAGCCATGACATGTTTTACATGAGCCAGCTAACCACAGGTCCTACTAGATGAAATAATCTTAACTTCAACATGAATTTTAACTCTATGAACAACAACATCACCTTCATTTAGACAAAAACATGTTTTGGAGACAAAAAGAAAAAGACTTGCAGCACAACCAGTGTGTTTGTTTCTGACCACAACCAAAGTGTGGAAGCAGCCTCTGGGATGAGAGGCTAAATGTCTCCAACATATCCAGAAACGTCCAGCTGTTTTCAGCTGAAACTCTCAGGATGATCATGTCCAGGATGACTGAGAACTTCACCTCCATGCTGCAGCAGCGTTCAGTCACAACAGGAAGTGAGACTTAAACGTAGCTGCTGTCAGTAACAAGCTAACAGGTTTAAACATTAAAACTCAACAGAAATAGTTCAGAAAGGAAATTTAAATGTTCACAGCTTTGTGTGTGATGTATTATTATTATTATTATTATTTATTGTGGCAGAAGCTGGTGTGGTCCACCACAGAGAAGCTGCTCTAGCATGATGACTTTAATTATTCTACAGGTTATTGTTCAGCCTTCCGACGCTCACACACACACACACACACACACACTCTCTCACACTCGAGTGTTGGTGAGCGGCTGCGTCTGACTGCTGACGCTCTGTGTGTGTTGTTATTTCTGCAGTGAGACAAACTCACCTCACACCGTCCAGAGTTTGTTCTTTAAGCTTCTATTAAATCCACCGTGTTGACGTATTTAACACGTTTCCTCTACGCTGCAGGAGTTAAAGTATACGTTACGGAGTAAAAGGTCGGCAGACGCGTTTGTTTATATCTGGGTGGGGGGAGGGTGGATTCGGTGCTGCACACACACAGCTGGTGTGATCAGCTCTGAAAAGCCTTGATCACAATTTGCAGATTGCGTTTATTTTTCACGGAGATCGGCCGCGGATTCCTCTTCCGTCGGCATTCTAGGAATCGAAACTAGGAATCCAAATAAAAAACGTTGAGCGATTCCGGGAAAAATGAACAGTTGGAACCGGTTCCAATCGATGCTCGATTCTCGATGCCCAACCCTAGCCGAGTCCAAGTTTTTGCCCAAATTCCACTGAAAATGACTTCTGAATAAACTAACTTCAGTAAATAATAAATGACCCGCACTTGTATAGTGTCTTTATGAGTCAGAGGACTCCAAAGCGCTTTATGCTACAGTGAGTCATCCATCCATTCACACACAGATTGTGATTAGCTACATTGTAGCCACAGCTGCCCTGGGACACACTGACAGAGGTGAGGCTGCCAAGCAGACGTGCTGGTGGTCCTTCTGACCACCACCTGCAGGTAGGGACGGTTAAGGGTCTTGCCCAAGGACACGACAGTCATGACTGCAGGAGTCTGGGCGTGAACCTTCAACCCACCAATTACAGGGTGAACACCCAACCCCTGAGCCATTATCGCTGCTACTGACTGTGTTAATCATTAGGAACAATTATAAAGAGCTTTAGTTTAGTTTCAAAGCATTCTCACAGATTTTGATCACAGGTATGATCAAAGACTTACCCTGTCCGTTGGAGTAGTAGATCCACTTCTCTCTGACCTGTGTCAGAGGTGCAGATGGTTTCTTCTGAATGGAATTCTCCATTATGCTACTGGGGTCCTGCACTGGACCCTTCTTCAACACCCGAGAGCTCCGTTTAACGCTGCACACCACAATGACAACCAGAACGAGTAGGAGAAGCAGGACTATCATCCAGGGTAGGTGCTCATTAATGTCAAAGTGTTCATGGGTGCTTGGCCTTGGCGAACCCCTGCGATTGGGTCTGTAGTAGGTGGAGTCTCCAATTCCACTTCCCTGGTTCACTACTATGTTGATTCCTGCTCCAACCCTGACAACCTCAGGACCCTGCAAACTCTCCATTGCATGCTTGTTGACCCCTTGTTTTGATTGAATATGGGCTGTAGTAAGGGGAGTCCGTGGCAGCCCATGTCTGAGTGCGGAGGATAGGCCAAGGAGTAGCTCATCGGATTTGTCGTCTTCCCTGTGTGCCGTTTCCCTCAGTTGAATGGCTGGAATGAATTGGTACAGAAGTGTGAGATGAGAGGAGACAGAGAGACAAACAGAATAAAACTCTCTGAAGGAGACACACTTAACCACAACAATAAAAACATCACAAGAGGGAATCATAACAAGCTCCCATCCCATGCAAGCAATCGGCCACACGTGCATTAGTAACCTTCCTCTGCTCTTCCTCATTTACCTCCCTGCTGACTTAAAGTAAGCCAGTATGTCATGGTGCTCCAACAGTTAGTAACACGACGTGAAAGGCATTCATGAGGAAGTTTCCAAAATGTATCAAAAGCTTCAACAGGGTTTATTGTTTCCTTATGCAAGTGACAGGTCCTTGCTTTTGTACTGTTAATAGATTTCAGTAGGGATCCACCAATACCAATACCAGCATTGGGCGTTGGGCCGATACCACATGCATGTGCTCACACTCATACTTGCGCTCCAATAATACAGGACCTAATACCAGAGTCGTGGATCCCTTTTTTCCCTCATACAGACACTATTCATTTGCACACGAAGGCTCTAACCCAGTAAGCAATGGTGACTCCCTGCCAAAAGAATATAAGATGCGTAGAAAGAATGACGAAACCGCTGCTGCACTATGGCAACAAGCTGAACAAACCACTTAATGGCAATAAGACCAGCTGAGTACTAAAACACCTTAGGTACCATTTCATTGTTTTCCAATTGGAATTTCACAAATTTTCTTTCAATTTTGAGTCCAAATACTTGCTAAATATTGCATGATGGCAACTGAGGTTAGTGGAGGGCACCCCTCCCCCCACCCCCACCCCCGATTTCTAATCGAGCCAATCAGCGCTGAGCAGCGCACGTCACACACCGCAACGCTCAGTTTCTTATAAGCAATGAAGACGCCGTCTGAAGCGGAAGTCACTGTGGCTCTTTCCTCTGTTCTACATGACTTGGACGTGTCTTTAAAACCACAACAAGTAGAAGCTACAAACCTTTTTTCTAAAGAAAGATATCTGCGCCATCGTCACACGCCATTTTTGACTACAGCTAAAAAAAACTATAGCGTTGCGCGGTGTAGTCTGCATTTTTGCCTTTCTTCTGATTGGTTATTTTTGAGCTGGCTAGTCCCGCCCCTCATGTGCCTCTCTGCCTGTGAGTAACCGGCCTAGTTCTCAGTGTAGACTTAAACAGAGGACGAGTCTGGCAGGCCTGGATGCGGAACAGGCCTCTATATTACCAAACTGCATTTCTGCAGAATATTGGTGGCTTGTAATTGTAATGGTAGAATGGGAATTAAGTCTGTAAACCAACACTGGAGGCCCGGGTACCAAATACACTGTGAGCCACTGATTTAAAACGGACTGAAAACATGGTACTAAATATTTCCTTGCAACACAACTGACTGTATTACAAACATTACTCAACAGGCTCCCTCAGTTTCAAACCACTCTTAAATTCAGTCTCATCGCACTGATTGGCTCAGGCTCAGCTGTGCTCCTCTTAATATTCAGAAAGCAGAGAAGCTCTGAATTGCTTAGCCTACAGTCTGCATTGTGGGTGACTCTAATCAGGCTTTAAATGAACTAGAGGAATAGGTTCAAACGTCATACTGCTGAACAGTTCATGGCCAAACAAACATCTGATAAACGTGCAAGAGGAGCAAATGATATTATGTGAACCATCCAATACAAACAAAAGCAGAAAATATTCCTTTAGGCAATAAAAATAACCGATAGTATCCTATATTAGTTCCAGGTATTGATAATCAATGTGGCCTCAGATGTCACGGCTTTTTTATTGAACTGGTGTTGTTCACAGGTCTCTAAAGGTTAAGCCTAAATTATGCTTCTGTGTCAGCTCCATGAGGGAGACACACACATTGACGGAGACATTTTAAGCCTAGTCTTTGCTTCTGTGTCGATATGGAGACACACAGCATCATTATCCATCCTTGTTACGGCTCTCCAGCAAGCTCACAAGGACGGACGGAGTCGGGCCCACTATTCTAAACATCCGTCGAACGAGACGGAAAATGCAAGCTTGTGACTGGTCAGGACGCCACTTTCGTCAACAGTGCCGCCAATGTGCCCTCCAAAACACACAGGAAGCCGGAGATATCTAGTGGCAGACATGGAGCAGCTTGAGGAATACTTTGGGGAAAAACTCTAAAAATAGGAATGTTGTATTCACCCGTGACTGGAAGAGTAAAAAGCAGCAAGCCTTTTATTCATGGATGGAAATGATGAGAAACGTGGTTTAGAGGCAATGAGTGCAAGAAAAAGTGGAGGAGAACGAGGGACAAAATTGTCCGTGTTAAAAAGTCTCTAAAATACAAAAAACAGAATAGAAACACAATACAAGACAGGATACCCCAGAACAGTGCTACGCCCTCTGCTGTCATGGAGGGGAACTGCTTTGCAACTGTGTTTATATTGTTTCTCAGAGACTTTAACAGGGCCACATTTGTCCCTCTTTCTCCTCCACCTCTTCATGCGCTCGTCACTTCTAAACCCACGTTTCTCGTCCACAAATAAAACACTTCTCTTTATACTTCTCCAGTCATGCGTGAATAAAATGTTCATATTTTCCACCAGGTATTCTTCAAGCTGCTCCATGTCTGCCGCTAGATATCTCTGTGCTGTGTTGTTGATGAATTCAAGGGAAGCAGCATTAAAGAACACTGATGCTAAGACTTGTGTGTCCATAAGGACAATGCAAAGCAGTTTAGCACTTTATCTTAGCTAAACAAAGCCCCTAATGTTCAGTGTTAAAGTACATCTTTACACATTAAAACAAATGACCTCATGAAAATGAATGTAAGCTTATTTTTATTGAGATTATAGAGCTTGCTAGCTTATATTTGCTGAGGTGCTAGAAAATAATTTAAAATAGCTTTTCTTAATCTGATACTGTTGAAAAACCTCATCAGTCCATACCTATAAATGTGAAAAGCATGGGCGGTGAGACATTCAGTGCACCTTTAATGCTTAAAGTTTGTGTAATGTCTATGGCTACACCAGAGGAAAAACTAGATGAAGATGACATAATGAATAGTACAAGTTTTATACTGTGAATATTTTTTAATTGTTATAGACTGAAATAATAAAATGAAAGAAATGAAATAGCTGTTATATAGCTTTCATTTTACATTTTAGGTTTGAAAAGGAAAACTCTCTTTTGCACTTTAAACTCTTTTCACAATGAAGTTGTCAATTCCCTCATTCAACAACAACTGACGCATAAAATACCTGTAATACCATAACCATCCGCCCACCCATTCATGCCCACAGCAGCCCTGACTGGGTCAAACTAACAGGCTGAAATTCCATTGATCACATGCCAACACAAACAGCAGTGACAGTGTTATCTCTGTGGGGGAGGAGCGGTATGCCTGCTATGGATAGTTGGTTCTGACCAAGCCCCCACAATGCGGCTCAAAATTGAGGCCAACCCGGAAGTACCAAAAATTGCAGTTCCACCCTCATCCACTAGGGGCTGGTGTCAGAAGTGAGCAAATCCTCATTGACTCCCATGTTAAAAATACCAATTTCACAGCAGAAATAAACATGTTTACAGCCTGGTACCAGAACATGTTTTGGTTTAAATGATCTAGTTTGCACTCATGACAACTCTGAGGGGGTGAATGTTTTTCTCACTCTTCTGTTTAAGTGTATTAAAAGCCTAAAATTCTGTATAATTAATGAGCATCAGACCCACGTGACCACAGAGCTAGCTCCGTGGAAAGGCCTCAGTAGAGCCTCGGTCTGGCCTGGAAACTGCTCCGGGATTTTGAGTCTCTGTGTGTATGTATTCTGTTTTGGATATTTTTTTGTGCAATTGTTGGACAAAATGACTTGCTGTGGCATTAATTGCACTAATAGAGCGTCCAAGGAGTTACTTCATTTTTTTCTGTAAGTAAAATTATATTTATGTATTTTAGGTCACTGCCGAGCTGAGCTTAGATTTTAACATGTACTGTTTAACCGTGAAATTTAAATGTAATAGGGTAAAACCCAGTGCATTTAACATAATGCTGCACTTTAGAAAATGGGTTGAAATATAACATGTTGGTGGAGCTGGGTTCCCACTATCGGCTTGTGGAGCTCTCGGGAGACCTCTGTGTTCCACCCGTTTCACCAACAGGGTGAAAAATATCAAAATATTGTCGGCAGAGACGGGCTACAACTTCTGGATCCATTTTATATAAATCGTTTTATTGATTATCGTCTTATGAAAGATAACTTTGATGTACACGAGCGACCGGTACTGGCTGCTGTCACCTGTTGTGATTGGTTAAAGCAGCTCTCTGCTGTCTAAGGGTAGGCCCCGCCCACAACGCCGCGGCTGCTGTAGCTCCCAGTGTTTTCTTTACTGTGGGAAACGGGTAATAATGGCTCTTTGATGGGAACAGGTTGCCGACCCGACCTAGAGGAAAACTACATACAAAGAACTACTTAAGCATATGGGTTTAAAATACTTAATAGCTTATCATGGCCTGTAGTAAAAGGTCTAAAATTAGGATAAAGAGTAATACAAAATGCATACTTTATAAAAAAATAAAAATAAAACCAAACACTTGAGTCTATCGCCTTATTGGATAAGATACAAACCTTTTAATAATCAATTTTATTAACTAATTTCCATTTTATTAAACTGCACTAGTTCCCATGAGAACAGGGCACCCGGTCGCGGCTCTTTGTGGACAAATAAGTTATTTAGTCGCTCCCCACCACCACTATTTTACAAATATGCAAAAAATAAAAAAAACAAGCGAGTTTATCTGATGGCATACAGACTTCTGGAGACCAACATCAAGCACTATCAACCAACTCACTGAGCTACAGTATTTCTGTGGTCAGGTCTCTCTCCGAGTCCGAGAGCTCCACAAGCTGTCAGCCCACACAGCAGCCAGGCGGTGAAGCGGTCAGAGATGCGCCGGGCTGACCGCTGGGGAGAACCGGGTGGAAGGATGGAACACAGAAGTCTCCCTTCGAGAGCTCCACCAAAATGTCATATTTCAACCCATTTTTATGTTAAATGCACTGGGTTTTACCCATCGACATATACCCTATTAATTATTTTACCGTATTACATCGAAATTTCATGGTTAAACAGTACATGTTAAAATGGTAGTTAGCTAGCTACTTTGATAAGCTCAGCTAGTGCAAGAGCAGCAGTGACCTAAAATACATAAATACAATTTTACTTACCGAAAAAAATGAAGTGGAGACTCCTTGGACGCTCTATTAGAGCAATTAATACAGCAGCAAGTCATTTTGTCCAACAATTGCACAAATAATATCCAAAAAAGAATACACAAAAGCTACAACTACTGGTCTAAGTTCAGACTCAAAATCGTGGAACAGTTTTCAGGTGAGGTCGAGGCTCAGGCTGAGGCTTTTCCACGGAGCTAGCTCTGTGGTCACGTGGGTCTGATGTTCATTAATTATACAGAATTTTAGGCTTTTAATACACTTAAACAGAAGAGTGAGAAAAACATTCACCCCCCTCAGAGTTGTCATGAGAGTAAACTAGATCATTTAAACCTAAAACATGTTTTGGTACCAGGCTGTAAACATGTTTATTTCTGCTGTGAAATTGGTATTTTTAACATGGGAGTCAAAGAGGATTTGCTCGCTTCTGACACCAGCCCCCTAGCGGATGAGGGTGGAACTGCAATTTTTTCACACCTGTGATGGCTTCACTTTCAGACCCGAATTATGGGGGCTTGGTTACAACCAATCAGCGTGAGTTAACCGAAGGTCCCGCTCAGCTACTCCACCGGGCCGTTCGGAGTACCCGCTCACTGAGAAGGTTCCTGAAAACGGCCCGAAAAAATGTCCGTTCGGACGGCCCGGTCAGGTTGGAGGGTTAAAAGAGCATGTCGAGAGGTTCCTGTAAATCTACCCTGAAGTTCTCGTAGTGGAAACACGCCTGTAGATCCTAGGCACACAGCAAAGATAACAAAGGCGTGGCTTCACAGCCACTCTTTGACTGTTCTTGAGTGGCCCAGCCAGAGCCCTGACTTAAACCCAACTGAGCATCTCTGGAGAAACCTAAAAATGGCTCCACCAACATTCACCCTCCAACCTGACAGAACTGCAGAGGACCTGCAAGGATGAATATCAGAGGATGAATAACAGAGGATCCCCAAATCCAGGTGTAAGAAACTTGTTACCAAGAAGACTCGTGGCTGTATTAGCTCAATAGGAGATTCTATTAAATACTGAGCAAAGGGTCTGAATACTTAGGACCATGTGATATTTCAGTTTTTCTTTTTTAATAAATCTGCATAAAATTCTGTGTTTTTCCTCCCAATATGGAGTGCCGTGTGTACATTAAAGGGAAAATACTGAATTTAATTGATTTCAGCAGATGGCTGCCATATAAGAAAGAGTGAATAATTGACCGGGGTGTGAATACCTTCCATACCCACTGTATATTGGCTAAAGATGGTCTATACTTGGAGTCAAGTAGAGTTCACTGTTGTAGTAACTTAATGGCTGAGTCATAGTGTCTATTTTCCTGCTCCTCTATCAAAATCTCCTATATATCTTGACTGTGATATGGATATCAATATAATTAAAAGGTCCAAAAGCCTAAAGGTTCTCATAAATTACACCAGACATATGTAAGCATACCTTCTTTAGCAGATAAAACTATATTTCCTCTCTTACCTTTATTTTCAGTTAGCAATGGGGGAATGGAGGTGTTCATGGATTCCTGAACAAATGTGGCCTGTTTAGAATCCAGTGGACTAAACAGGGATGGCAGGGTGGTAATGGGGTGTCCACAGACATTATCAGTCTCTCTCGTCCCTGGTGTAAGTAGAACCATACCCCGGGCCTGGCAGTTGCTGTGAATTTGGCACCTCATTGTCATGGACTCTACATCTGAAAATGTTCCCTTAGTGCATGGCTTACAGAGAGTGTCTTCTGTCTCACTGCCACGCTTCTTCACCCTGGTACCTGGAGGACACCGTGAGTGTGGCACACACTGTGGAACTCCATCCCTTGATAGGAAGCTGTTGGGTGGGCAAGTGCAGACACGATCCTGGGTGGACGTACAGGGCTTTTTCTCAATAAGGCCCACGGGACATGGAGCTTGGCAGTGGTGGCATTGCTGGACTCCGTTCTCTCCTCGCGTGAAGGTGCCCTTGGGGCAGGGGCTGCATTCTCTCACAGCTGTAGGAGAGCAGTGGACAGACACGTAGGTGCCTGCCGGGCACTTGTCACAGACCAGCTGGGTGCCCAAGGCTCGGTTAGTGTGCTGATAGTGGCGCGCAGAGAGGAGGGGCTGGTCATCTGTGCTGGTTGTTGTTAAGACGCGGGCTGGGACAACAGCCACAACTGTGCATAAGAGCTGAAAACACAACAGGAAGCACATGTTATGATAAAAATGCCCATTTCTTTTAGAACATTCTACTTTAAACTTTGTCAAAGGTCAAGGTGCAGGCTTTGTACCGTTCACACAAAACTTCTGAAAATGGCATAAATTGTTATCAGCAGCACGGAACGGCAGCAGAGCGGTTTACTCGCCAACTTCAATGCAGTCCAGTACACACCGAGAGTCTTGGCCACAGAACGACTTCCCAGCTGTGCTCCTCGCTGGACTCGCGAGATCACAAGATCCCTCGAGACTTCAAAGGTCACAGTTAATTCATGCAATCCGCCATTAAACCAAAAAGAAGGAAATCACGTTTGATATCCCTGTTTGATATCATATATGAAAAACACACTGTAGAACTTTTCGAATAATACCAGAAGTAAATAAGCCGTAAGGTCACATGTAAGCATGCTGAAAATTACCAAGGATTTTTCACTGAAACCCTGTGTGATTTCCTGTCTAGCCATATGTTAACTGTGGAAATTGACCCAGAAGCGGCTTGTCCAAAATTAGGGATGGGTACCTTTGACATTTGAATCGATCTGGTACTAATTCCCGGTACCTACGAATCGATACCGGTACTTAACGGTACCAATTTTCGATACTTTTGAGTGTTTAATATTTTAATTCTCTTTTATAATTAGATATATATTTTTCTCAATTTATAACCATATTTGATAAATATAACAATAAATAACATACAACTGTTTGTATTTTAACATCGTCCTTGTAGTTTTATAAGCTGATAATTAAACTGAAGCAAACATCTTTATTGTGAACTAAATTTACTGTGTATCTTCATTCCTTTTACCGTCCTTTTTCATTTGATTTTTCCTACTGGGAAGTTAGAATTTCCGAGGAGAAAGCGAACGCACCATTAGATGATAACAATGGTGGCATAGGAAGCTAACATATCAAGCTAACGTTACCTTAAACAGTTTATTTAGCTGCTGGAGCAGATTAAAACGATGATGCCTCACACTTAGATCGTTGTCGCTGGTTTCATCTTCACCCAATCACCCGTCGCATTTAGTAAAGTGAAGCCAAACTCTAGAGCGCGTTCATGTTCTTCTAGTCAGAATTTCGGAGTTCCGAGGAGAAAGCGAACGCACCATTAGTGAAACGGAAGCTAACATATCAAGCTAACGTTATCTTACATTTTATTTACCTACCGGAGCAGATTAAGATGAGGATGTCTCACTTAGATCGTTGTCGCTGGTTTCATCATCACCCAGTTACCCATCACATTTAGTGAAGTGGACCCAGGCTTTAGCGTGCGTTCTTTCTACCGTGCTGCTCTGTTTACAACTCGCTCGCAGCGACCGATGACATAACGCTCTTGCGCATGCGCAGCTGTCTAGGCAAGTTCTCGTTATGAAGGACGGGTACCGAAACGAGGCACCGTTTCAAAAGAAGTTAATCGGTGCACGGTCGGTACTATGGAATTCGGTCGGTACCTTAAAAAGTACCGAATTCGGTAACCATCCCTAGCCAAAATAGATCCTGTCTTTAGCGGCGTGGCATACAGCTTCTGGGACGCACCTGAAAATTACCGCGTTGTGTCGTTCTGCTGCTGTTTCGAGCTGCTGATGCTTCCAGTGTAAAATAGAGTTGGACTTCACTAGACTAATGTTTGATGGCTTTTATAAACGATCATAGTTTTTTGAGTTGATAACTTTTTGGAGTGTTTTCACAGTTGATGTCACTTGAATTTTTGAATCTTATTTAAATTACTTTTTCATAGTCTCACAATGTTTTAGTAGAAATGTAAATCACACACAAAAACATTTGTATGTTCATATTTTTCTGCCAGCTTTTTCTCTCACTGCTGTTGGACTGAAGAGTTTCTGAAAAGTGTAATTCAAAGATCCCACAGACGTCGAATATTGTTTTGCTCCTAATGATCTCTTGTAAACATAAAGTATATAGTGTTTGACTAGTTAAGAGCAAATTGCAAGTTACATTTTATTTTTATTTTATGTAAAATGCGGTGCAAAAAAACCCGGAACCAGAACAACATTTCTCACCGGTTGAGCTCGCCTTCAAAATAAAACGTTTACCCTATAGTTTACTATCCAAACCCTTATAATATGTTTGAGGTCATTTGGCTACTCCGGCTATCCGTAGAAGTTTCCTGATTACACAGGGGAGGGAGGGGTTTGGCTCGTCTCTCTGCACAAGCAGGATGGAAAAACAGAAATCTGTTGGCGTTGAACGTCCCCAAATAATTGAAAACCAGGACGCCAAATGCAAAGTTTAGAGCAGCACATTTACCCAGAGGCTCTCAGATTGAGCAAACTTGAGAGAATACACGTAATAATGGCTTAGACAGGGCAACATGTTGCTAGCATAACGGCTCATCGCTAAGATATAAAGTCATCTTGTTTCTTGTTTAAAAACTGTATCGATATTTTTAAAATATCAATATTGCCCAGCCCTATTCGAAATAAATGAACGTCAAAGCTCTTCATTGAGCTGATACTGTACTGTGTTGAAGCCAGACATATTTCAGATGCCATGGATCTGTTGCTGCTGTATAAAGTATACAGTCATTATTTCTGTGAACGCTGTGCTTCAACATGCCAGGGGAGACAGAAGTGAGGCATATGGCATCAAAGTGCAAGTTCCTTATCAGTTTCTTCTTCATTTAGACAGAAACCAGCAGCGGAACAATGTGTCTGCCACCGAAAGTTTATTTTTGAAAGTAAGCAATCGGTCACAAAAAGGCCGAAGAGGAAACAAAGTGCAATACTGGCAATTTCGCAACACACACACACACACACAGTAGACTGACACAGCCTGGAGCCTCTACTAATCAGTAAAACAGTGATCCACTTCTGTTCTGCTGCCAGGCGGATGTTTCAGCCGACTCGGTCTACCTGAACTATGCAGTCAGTCTGGTGCACAGCCCAGACCACCAGTCAAGGTGGTGTGACAGGTCGGGGGTTATCATTACCCATTCTTACTTCCTGCTTCTACCACTGTAAGTCTTGTTGACCTCCAGGATCCAGAACAAACTTTTCACACAGACTTGATGCTTTATGTTTCACTACCTTCTAGCAGTAAACACTAAACAGACATTGGCTCTGCGTCACATTTTATTGATTTTGCAGTCATGCTGATTCTTGGTTTTGTTTATGATTAAAGTGATAGCTCAGACATGTGATGTGTGCTTGCTGGTAGGAAAATATTTAGAGATTGAATGGTATTGTGGATGACATGGGTGGGTTAGGGCTATGTGTTTGTTGAGTGGGTGGTATTATGTGTATCATGTGTATTGTTGTGGATTATATGGGGCCCTATTTATAAGCCAACTTTGGCTTGTGTGGACAGAACTGAGTACTTTGAGAAGCTGCAAATGTGTAATCCAATGAGTTCTGTGAATGAAGTGAAGTGAATGTATAACCATGACTGGACTCTCAAACTACACAAACTCAAGGAAGTAAAAGCTAAAAATGAATTTTCAAAAAAAAAAATTTTTTTTTTAAGAAATATGGAAGACTGTTGCAGAGGAAAAAAGTGCAGGTCCCGTAACCGGTTGTGGTAGCCTAGCTTTTGTCAATCCGCCCCAGTGCAGCTGTGGTTACGTTGGAGCTCATCACCCTCATGGAGGGAATTTGTGCATGAATGGGTGGATCACTGTTGTGTCTTAAAGCATCTAGGGGGTTTCTAGAACTCTAGAAAGTCCTATATTGACCTGGCATACCATCCTATATATGAGAATATATAGTCTGGCGACGACCCATAGAGAGATCTCAGTCATAGGGCAGGACTGAATGTCTCCACGTCCTATTGGACAACAAACAACGTGACATACTCACCGTTACGGATGTCAGTCAACGGGGCAGTCCACCAAACACTGTAGAATAAGACACAATCCACCCTAATTCTAAATAAAGGACTTACCGTAAATCCTCTAATACAGACCCGGGCCTGTATTTGACTCAAGCTCATCAAGCTCCAGGCCTTTATTGGAAGGAGGACCAGAATTAGAGGCAGGCCTCGATTTCTATTCGAGCAAAATGAACTAATGGTTCGCTGGGGTTTTTGACAATTAAAATCGCGCCCACATTTTCAAAGTTAAACACATTTATTTTAAAAACGGTAGTTTCTGCTTCAGCCCTCTCCCCCCTCCCCCTGCGCAGCGGCCGCAAACGCACTGATGCGCCTGCAGCCTCTCGGAGTTCCTGCTGCTCTAAACATTAAAATAATTATTTCATTTTCTGTTCCTCACTTCTGATTACCTTCAGTGGTGTCTGTTTGTTGCAACCACCAGGTACAAAAACTAACTTGTTTTTATTTGACTATTTTTCTGTCCTGCCTGTTTATTATCTTCCATCTCCTCTCAATCCTAAAGAGAAACTGCTACCTGGCTTCATATATATTCACCTCATGAGTTACCTTTGAACTGCAGTTCTAAAAGATCTCCTGACCGCAAAAACAGCGGAGTGCGCGCTGCTCGCCGGCCGCACCGGTGAGGTGCGTCACCGGAGGACAAAACAGGTGATGCGCCCCGCTCCACAGCAGCGAGAAGCATCAGGCCCAAATAAAAGAATAAAAGACAGAAAACATAAAAGGAAATGGGCTGACATGAACGATCGCGTGTTAAATTAGTTTTTGAGGTGGCAACACCTGATTTGATAATGTTACTGTGGCCGTGCTCAGGACGCAGATGTCTGGAGCGCGTCAACAATCAGAGCTTTGCATGCGCAAGCTGGTTAAGGTTAGGATGGGGGTGAGGGGAAGGTTAAACTGCAAGAGGGTAAAGGTCACAATTTGGTTAAATGTCCGTTTTATGGCGGGTGTCAGTACCGACGCTCTGACGCGCAGGAGCTTGTCACCTGCCGGTCATTATCACGTGACAGCGACTAGTCGATGACAGGCATAAAAAGTCACTATAGAGCGGTGAAGTCCACTAGTCGACTAGTTCATACAACCCCTGCTACTGCTCCCCAGAGTGTTCTGCAGCATAATCAGCACGTTCTCTTTGAAATTGATATCAGATTTTCGCCTCCTCTTCGTCTCTGCACCTGCCATGGTTAAAGTTACCCTCGCAGTTTATCACTGGCAAATCAAAAGTGAGACGGATGACACAACCGCCCCCCTGTGGTACTTGCTTGTTACCACATTCCACCCGGCCACAATTAAAAAAAAACGGCCATTATTCACCTCCGCCGACTCCGACACCGGCCAAAATGTGATACATGTGATGAATACAGGCCAATATTAGAGGATTTACGGTAAATTAAATCTTTAAAAATAAATATTATAATCTTTTGATTAACATAGACCAAGCAAGTTGGTGTATGAATTTATATCTGTATATATGCATGTAGATTTCATTCGTTAATTTGTTTGATCTTGTTAGGAATTAAAACATAAGCTGATAGCAACAGCCTTTAATTCCTAGATATGTAGTTCATTAACCCTACATGTGTGTGCATGTGCATATATATTGTGCGCACGTGTGTGCGTATAGGTGTGGGCGTGTGTGTGTGCATGTGTATGCATATATGTGTGTGCGTATGTGGGTGTGCTTGTGTATATATGTGTGGGCGTGTGTGTGTTAATAAGTTGTGTGTAAACATGGGAGAATGGGTGTGGCAGAATGGATTAAGCTGTAATTACTGTTAAATTAAAGATAAGATAAAAGTCTGCAACACACAAAGACAGACAGGGACAGGCTGGCAGACAAACCTCCAGTAAACAAACACACTCCCACACACACACTCACTGATTATCTTCCACTAACACACAGGAATGTTAGCCCAGCATCTGTGTCCCGTGTCGTCCTGCACTACAGATCAGAGAAGAGACACTTTGTTTGGATTCATTTGTGCTGAAATTATCAACAAGCTAAGACTGTAGATGTTTCCAGGTTTTGGCTAACAAACGACGCAACAAGCTTTGCCAAAAGAACTGAGCACTTCCTCAGTGAAACTTTAATGCTGAAACATTTATCTTTTGTTACTTGGCCCGTATTTGTTATAAAGTTCCAAACGTTGTGGGGGTTTGTGCAGTTCGACATCCCATATAATTAAGAAGGCTTTTTGAGCATCAAAAGCATGATAATGAACAAACCAAAAACATACGTTAGAGCTGGCATGTAGCATTTATGTGGTGGGTGGGTTTTTGTTTAAAGTCTATTTCCAGGCAGATAGAAGAGATTAAGCAAAAGGAGCACAGATCTGGATAAGGCTGGCTTTCCCCTCCCACAAAGGCTGAAATGAGCCAGTTAAAGACGCACACAGTTTATTTGGCCAGTTTAGGACACCTTTTGAATGTTCAGCAAACACAATTATGGATGTGTTTAAAAAATCATAAATACAGAGACAATGAGTTTTCACTGACATCAGAAAAGTGAGATAAGCCTCATAATGCCGTCAATATAGTTTACAGTTGTGGTTGCACTCTTAAAGACCACAGAGAGGAACAATGACTGAGCATTTGCCCCCTAAGAAGAGAGCTTATGTGGGTCTTAGGGTGAGTTTATGGTCAGTGACGGCGCGGGATGTGATCATTGCTGCCTGACAAACGTTTAGAAATAATTACAAAACGAGGGAAAGCTAAAACGCGCACAAACAAAACGTAATAATGTTTTACTTACAAGCACATTTGGATGATCTTTAGGTCTGCATTCAGTTTGAATCTTTACTCGTCTCTGAGATCTTGTGATTCATATAACTCCTGATGTTGACTCTTGTTTGACTCTTATTGTGGTCGGATGTTCCTTTTATTTTTTTAGTTTCCTCAGATATCGAATAATTCGAGTACAAAACGGCCTCGAGTCAAATTCTCTGCCTCGAGGCTTCGTTCAATTCATGTTTAATTAATTCATGGCTTTGCAATCGCCCGGGGTCACGTTTCACCCGGACCGAAATAAGTGACGCACACACACACTGCACTGAATGCACACGCGAGTAGCGAACGTAACTTAACTTTCTCTTAAGGCATGGCGGACAACGTGGACCCCGGTGGAGTGCGAAAATGACAGAAAATGTCTAAGTTGTGGGAGCATTTTTCACGTCGTAAGGCGGAAAACGTAGTCCAGTATAAATACTGTAAAATGGATTTAGCCGACCACACCACCAGAAGGACTCGGGTATTTATGAGAGTGGTGGAGGAAAACGAAAGAAAGTAAATAAATGTTTTGTGATCAGTATAATTTGACATAACCACGGCAAACATGCTTTCTCGACAATCCTTGTTATTGTGTGAGAAAAAAAAGTGTAATAATTAAAACGGACGTGTGTTGATAGGGAAATAGCTGGCGAGCCATGTTGACGAATGTGTGCACATGCGCCGTGAGCGGTTCTGGTGCTGTTTGGGCTGCAGCCGCTCGCTGTGCTACTTCAACAGTTATCCTCCCAGTTTTTGCCTGGCTTGCCGGGCTATTAGATTCTCGCACGAGGGGAACATCGTCTCAGGTTGTGTACTTAATTTTTGCACAGGCATTTGTTTACTGTGGAGTAAAGATGAAGTGCTGAAGTTTTGAAAACTAATTTTGAATAAAACTTGAAGAATAACTCTTTTAAGAGGTCTTTCATATTTTATAACATGCTGTTTGATATAATGGTTTACAAACACAAAGGGGTAATTTATTAGAGTACTCGATTCATTGATAAAAGATTCAATAGAGTACTCGATTACAAAAATATCCGATGGCTGCAGCCCTAGTTTAGAGCTTATAAACCTGCAGAAATGGTACACTCATGCTGTGTGAAGAGCTGCCATGCCATCTTCACAAGAAGGCAAAAACGTTAAATGTATGCAGGGACCGCGTTGACCAGATATTGTCCATTTTTCACCGTTGACAGAAAAATCTCAAGACAGTTGGTCATTCTGACAGACTGGAATTACCTGGACGCATACAGGTGTGCAGACATTTTAAAGGTTGCACAGAGAGAACATCGCGGAGGTAACAAAATCATTCAAGAGAAGATTCCCATCAGCACATCTGAGCATTGTCTCAGACTTGGAGACCACAATGAGCGCAGCTCGCTGTCAGTCCACTGAGGAGCTGTGAGAGCAGCTTGGAGTGCGTCTGTGGGTCACAGACCAGCAGCAGAACCAGAGCAGGGCAGGTAAAATGTTCCTACTTTAAGTTAAATAGTAACATTAATATGTTGCTGGACGCTTACTCAAGTGATATATTTTCGCCAGTAGTGAAACGCCTGAGCTCCATTTGTTTCCTTTGAGGCCGTAGGGATCTACATTGTCGACTGTAGATTATTTTTTGAAAACACCGATCTTTATGCTCCTTCACAATTTTATATCTGTAAGGGATGCGTTCATCCTTGTTCTTCTTTATCCATCCTTTTGACTCTTGCTCTGCGTCAACTTCAGCTGCGGCTTCTCCTAGCAATGCGAGTCGTACACCTAAAATGGCGCTAAGGGGGTGTGGTTGACATGCAGGTCACGTGTCGGACAAAGGCTGATTCCTCCCTGCTGGACACTCAGCCTTAAGAGTTGGATTGGGGTGACGCCACCATCAGCGTCAGCTCTGAGGATGTTTTGCAGTCGACAAACGAAACATTGGCAAGGTAAAGAAAAACCTTTCCTGTGTTTTAAAAAGAACCAAAAATGGAATTAGAAACTAAACACAGTAAGAACACACCAAAGAAGTTGGACTGGGTGTTAAACACCAAATGGTTCCCGAGCGCAGCCACAGCTACAGCTCCCTAAGAGGATGGGTCAAACGTGGAGACGTCATTTCACCAGTATGTGGTGATACTAATGGGACTTTAACTTTTGACTTCAACTCACTATAGTGGACAGAAGTCTCCATAGTAAAATAAAGGATTATCAACACTAAAGGAGTAGTATCAACACTTCACATCTATCATTTCAGGTCCATCACAGTCCGCCCAAGTGACTCATGAAGTATATGAATGCTATCTTACTCAGTGAAACGGGTTCGCCGCAGATCCGAAAAAACTTTGAGGGCTGCTAGTCCCCTTGATCGATCGCAGTGGTTTGTCCCCGTTTTTCGTCTCCATCTAAGTTAATCGATATAAAGACAAGTTGGGTTGACAGCCTTGTCTGTTAGCGCAGCCAACCACACAACAAGCTACCATTTAACCATTTATTTAAGTAAAAGCGATATAAGGCAACAAACTAGCTGGTTTTGGACTAGCTTGATGGAGTTTTAATGGACATAAATTGTTCCTTAGACATCCATTATGGTGAAAGAGACGTTCCCATGAGTAGCTTGACATCATGTGCAAAAGGTCAAAGGGCAAATTCTAGCTGAGTAAACTGCATAAATCCAAGCCAAGACTTCATTCTTTGTCACCATGTTTCCATCTCTATTCAGCTGTTCTGAGCCTGATTCATTATGTTACCTATTAAAACACAAAACACCTTTAGTTGTGGTGACTAGGTGATGTCTCACAATGAACTTTTTATGCAAAATACATTGGCAATAAACATTAATACAGTTTTACAATTAGCATTTAAAATTGAAGCTATCATACAATTTTATGACATGAAGTCAATAGACACAGGGCTCTGTTGGATGATTTCTCAGGTTTTAGAACAATAATAAGCCAATAGCTCTTCCTTTGTTCATCCAATCACTGAAAACTTTGTTTTCTTCATTCCCTTTTTAATTAATTCCTTATAATCCAACTATTGATGCTAAAGTAAAACGTGTTATGTGTTCTTGTTTATTTTTCAAACAGTAAATTTCAAGAAACTGAACTAGATTACATTTTTTCAGTACATTGCAAAAGAAAAAAAAACAGGTGCTGGCCCTTTAAATGGGAGAACCTGCTGAACAAAGTCCCTAGAATGAATAAAGCTGACAGAACATCACTCACCACTGCGGACACGCGCAGGGCAGCAGACACCATCCTGGTTTAGGAAACACCGAGGAGGCTCGAGCAAACGTCCAGGTCCCAGTTGTCTGCTGGAGTGAAACTTCTCATGTCTAGATGTTTGTCCTGGCCATCATCATCCTCCCCGGTCCGCCGGAGAAGAGCTGAGCGGGGCTCAGCAGCAGTGGCAGCAGCGGAAGTGTTTTATAGTCTCCGGGGGGAGCGGGCTGAGGTCTCGGTTCACACACCACGATGTGGTTCATTCCCATAGCGATGACAGACGCCGCCTCGCCCCGTCCGGTTCTGTCGCTGTGCAGTGCGTCAGTGTCCGCTCCGCAGACCTCCACGAACAGCGCAGCGCTTACGTTAGCGGATGGGCGGGACTTACCGAAGCTTCTCGACCAATAGCAGCCCTAAGAAAACCATGCACGTGGCTCGAGACCCACTAATGAATAAGGGTGGGCGTAGAGGTGATTCCGGTGTCGGTACAGGATCGGCTCGAGGTCCATCGACTGCCAATGACGTCACATTACTGCAAATCCACTCTGCTTTCACACACACGTTTTGGAAAGACATCAGCAGTTGTGTTAATAAATTCTTGTTTGTTAACACCTAAATGTTTTCTTTATAATTGTAATTTGTTAATAAAACACCATATCATCTTTGTTTTGTAAAGAATGTGAAACTGCATAAAACCAACATCGGACTGACAAAAACTAGAACAGTTCTTATATGTGAAGCCATATCTGTTTGTATTCATGTGGAGTTCGTCTGTATATTTCCTTAGTTGTTATCTTAATACATTCTTTGACTCAAAGTATTGCTTGGTGTCTTTCAATAAAGTTCTTATATTTTATTTTGCCCCATTTCATCAACATCAAGAGCTTTTGAGGGCCACCGTTTATCATCTGCTTATATTTTACATTTCCTTTAGAAATTCAAACATATTTTCTCCAAAAACTGTTGATTTTTGTACTACAGGACTACAACCGCTAAGACTACAACCGCAAATTTGTTCTGACCAATCAAAATCATAACGTGATAACGTAACGTCCGTAAGCTTCATGTTCAGCCAATCAACTACTTTGACGTAGTCAAAGGACCCCGAGCCGATCCTGTACCGACACCGGTCCTCTGTGTGCCGGGAAATAAGTCTGACTCGGAGTACTCCGTATCAGTCATCACTTGTTTGTTTGTGTTTGCTCTAATAAAACGCACATTTTAATATTAGTAATGTCTAAAAATTGTCTGAAGGCATTTTGAAATGCACTTTCTCTCCAACATTATATGATATTATTATGTTAATTGCCTTCATTTAAAGCTGCAATGGCAAACATCGTTTTATCTACATATTGCGTGGACAAAAAATAATAATAAAGTGGTTATCTCGCATTTATCTAAAAACCAAAAAACGAACTGGTAAATCTGCTGCACTTCCACTTCCTCCAGTCATTACACACACACACGTGTTAAGCAACAGAACACCACTGGTGTGAGAGGTTCTCCGCTCAGTAACATCAGAAAAGGGGAAACAGCCAGCTGCTACCACTACCAGAGTCTCAAAAACAAAATCACCATTTGAACTCATGAACAACAAAAGAGGTTTTAACTCTGGAACGGAGTGGGACTCAATTTCAGCCCTGGAGTTTCAGGGCTCACTTTAGACTCACGGCCCATTATTTTAAAGTCTGGAAATCCTAACCTTATATGTTTGGTCAACAACAATTCATTTAACAGCACACTGTTCTGTAAAGCCTTGTAATTCTGAGTATTTTGCTAAAATATTTCCAATTCAGTGCAAGTAAAGGTTGCTTCATTAAAGAGCAAGTCACCCCCTACCAGAGTATTAGTCCACTCCTGCTAGGCAACAGCATTTGTTGCCTAGCAGACCGAGAGGGCGAAGCCGCTAACAAATACACACACACAGGCTCACAACGAAATTGTGACATCATATGGTACCAGCTAACATTCTAGAGCACCTCTTAGCCAATAGCGATGGCAGATTTAAATTCAAATGCAGAGTTTTTACCTGACAATGGCACAACACTGACAGTTTTAGGCAGAAAATTGAATTTGTAACTAAAATGCTCTAAAGTGCAAAACTATTGACCACACGTGTCTGCAGCACGATTAGACACTCCTTTATATTGTTTATCAGCAAAATAAATTATTTGGGGGTGACTTGCTCTTGAAGTGTGACTTCCTACCCTTTCCTCATTTTATCGCTCGAATTTTAAGATAAAAATGACTGGCTTCAATCATAATTTTAGGTGGATTTAACAGTTCAGCTGTCCCGTTTTTAACTAAGGTCAAAGGATCATGGTTTCTGTCGTTCAAGATGTTTACTCTAATTCTCATCATTTTAAAATCCGTTTTAGGGTTTAATTAATCTCTTTGTAATTTATATTTTCATGTATTTTTTATTGTCGTGTTTTTTATTTGTTTATCGGGGGGAAAAAAGTTTATTTGGGGGTGACCAGAGTTTTTCCCTTTCAGAAATTATGTATGATTTGTGAGAAATCTGTAAAAGTGATTATCTCATCATGTACTGTGATATAATAATGTAAGCAAAACATCTTTTTTTTTCTAAGCACGCCCCATTCCCTGCAGAGCTCTGTGCAATGGGTAACTGAGCACTGACCAGAACTAACCAGTAGCGTAATAATGGGCCATTCCCATCTGTACCGGGTCGGCCCGGGCCGGGTAGCCCCAGTCGGCCCCAGCCTGGCCCGGTTGTTTCCACACATCCTTGTCTTAAGCCCATGTGGGCTGATTCTACCCACCAATCAGAGGCTTGCTCTAATGGAAGGTGTGAATTTGCTGTCAGCAGTGGGTGTGTTGGCCCTGGTCGGCCTGAAGCAGACCCCCTTGAGAAGAGGGCTGAGAATGAGCCTTGGTTGGCCCGAAAAAATACCAGGCCACCCAGATATGTGAACAAACTACGCTACCCGGCCCGGGCCGACCGGGTACAGATGGGAATGGCCCATTAGACTACCACTTACTTGCTTCAAATTAAAGGAATACCTTGGCTGATGCAGAGTTGATGAACTTTCCACGGACAAGTAAGTCTCTAAAATATAAATATATGAGAATGTGACATGAGAATAACACTCGTAAAACAACGTGTTTTAGCTCCGTTTGTCGGCTACAGAAGCACATTTATAAACAGAAACGTGAAGTCATGATCTTAAAAAATCAGGAGTGTGATATGCCTGTCAGCCACTAGATGGTGATATCGGATGAGAGAAATTCTCTGGAAAAATGCTTTTTATCAAATTCTGTTCAAATAGGTGTTCAGAGATATCAAAACCTTAAAAGTGAAATAAATTACTTAATAAGATTATTAAATATTACATTTTAGTTGCACTTTCTAAACATACTATTATATATTTTTACCAATCTGTTTTTCTCCACAGCACTGTTGGTCTCTCTTCCGTTAGACCAAGCACGGGTACGGAGTAGATGGAGTTAAACACCTTTTAAGTTGACAGAACGAGGAGACAAATGATCAGAAGTCCATTCACTGTTTCGCCGCTCATGAGGGGGAGAGTCTCTGCAGCAAGTCCCGCGACCTGCTCTTGCCAGATGCTTCGGACAGACTCTCGCCGTTCTGCTGAAAACGGCTGATTTTTATTGAAGATTACAGGAATGTTACATACGTAGTTTGCCATACACACACGTAATTCTGCCATCTGCACCTGCAGACGCACGTCAGCTAATAGCCTTGTTAATGAAAGACCAATTCATCCCAAGGACATGCAACCTTGAGATGATCAGGACACATCCTGCAACATCCTTTGCTAACAAAGACAGTTGTTCTTGTATTGAGGAACTGAAGGAAGGAACGCTTTCACTCCCTTATGCAGCTGTTCAGCTTGAGCAGAAAAGGCACAGAGAGGTCTTTGATATTATAACAAGATTCCATGAAAAGGCATATAATAATGTATTTATGATAATATATAAGGGGCAAAAGTGAGAGATACATATTTAATCATATAAAAGAGCTTATAATAATATATGAAAGAGCTTATATGAGAGATATATATTTTCAATCCCCCTTTTGAACTCTTTTAAGAGTTCAATAAAGATATAAGAAATCAAAACAATAACACCAAATTCCATCAAAAAGAATCCAATAAGCAAAGTTTTAAAATACAAATACAAACAATCAATCAGGTTACAGCTTCTCATATTTCCAGCAGTAAACTAATACAAAAAAAAACATGATCATATTTTTAACTGAACATGTTACAACATGTATGGATCGCATGCAACTCCATATGAGGGCGAAAAACCCTAATTATCATATGTTTATAGGGAAAATTCCCCCATGTCCCCCCATTTGTCATATCTCAATTTTGGGGCGAACACCTGTTGGCATAGAGTGTGCATGCCTAGGACATCAATGATCAACAAAAAATAAAACAAAACAAACAAAAAAATCATAAAAATGAACTGGTGAAGGGATGGTTACATAAATCACTGAACATTCTCACACTCTAACAACATCTTCTTCATCATGAGAGTCATCACTATCATCAGAGAGTTCCCCTCCCAAATAGATGTTAGGATTGGCTAGTAACAAGGGCATCTGGATAATTGGGTCAGCAGGTGGAGGGTGTAAAATATTACCCTTGTAAAATAAATGAGGGTGTTAAATACAACCCTTGTAGAATGTTCATAGGGTGGCTACTTCTTCCCCCTGTTGAGGACCCTTCACTGGCTCCAGGCAGCTGCAGGGGGTGATGATATCAAGATTCTCGTCCTGCAGGATGTGGTGGCAGCTTGGCATGCTACTGCAGTCAGCTACTTCTCTTCCTGGTTTTTGGATCCTTTCTCTGGTTAGGCAGATGTCAGCTGCTTCTCTTCCAGGTTAGGCTCCTCCCGTCCAGCCGGACAGCGTGTGATGTCCTCTCCGTGATCCTGTATGGCCCGGTCCACCTTGGTTCCGTCCACTTCCTTTTGGTGACTTTTAGCAGGACCCAGACGCCTGGCACCGAAGACGAAGCCTCTTCGTGTGTGTAGTTTTGGTCCAATGAAGGCTTTCTCGACTTGTGCAGTCCTTGATCTCGGCAGATAGTTGGTAGGAAGGCTCACACTCCGGCCGGACCAGAAGTTCCCTGAACCGATCGCCTAGGGATTAAAGGTTATGCACAAAAATGTCCTAGCTCTTACTGACCCTAGCCTCTGATACCTTCAACATCAGATACATACAGTTACGAACAGCAAGCGCAATTAAAGGTACAGTGACATCACGACATGGACACACACAGACACACAAACACATACACATGCACATACACAGAGAGAGAGG